TTTTTGGTGTTGTTGAGAGAAAGTCGACTGTATTGACCAGGATGGACTACAGTGGCATGATCTCAGCTTGCTGCAACCTCCACCTCCTGGGCTCAAGCGATCCTCCCACCTCAGCCTCCCAAGTAGCTTGGGACTACGGGCACACACCACCATGCCTGGCTAAGTTTTGTATTTTTTTGTAGAGATGGGGTTTTTCCATGTTGCCTGAATTCCCAAGCTCAAGTGATCAGCCTGCCTCAGCCTCCCACAGTGTGGGGATTGCAGGTGTGAGCCACTGTGCCCCACCGTTGGGGTGATGTTAACATCTACTAATTCCATGACCAAAAACAAGTGTACTCCCATCCCACCCTGTTTTGCTCTTGCCTCAAGGGTCTGGGTGATTATATTTCCAGACTGGTTAGGAATTATCAGCAATCACTACTCAATAAGGCTGAGATGAGAGATCTCAGTAGCAAATACGGAGTGCAGATGCTTGTAACACCTGCTTCATGACTGGCTCAGGTTTCTGCAGGCTTTCTTGATAAGTAGGGGCACTACTGTGGTCTAGTAAACTTCATAGGAACCTGAACCTGAAAAGGAGCAGCATTTTTCACCTACTGCCCTGCAATGTTGACCCAGTTTTTTAAGTTTTCTTCCCAAATGATTTTGCTATGTTTGATTCCTTTAGGATTGTGATAGCTTTTCGGTAAAATCCTTCCAACCTCAAGTGAGTATTCTAAATCATGACATCATTTTCTTATTGAGGCAAGATAGTCACATTTTTACCTTTATTAATATAAACAGAATTTATTTCAGCTATGGTTAAGATTTCTTTCTCAGCAGTATCCATTAGGTATTCTGGTCAACAGATCAGCTTGAGCAGGTGAAAAAGAAAAACCATAAAACAAAAGACCCTCACTAAATACAATTTTCGTCTGGTCGTGGAAAAAAAAAAAATCATTAAAAGACATAACCCGTATTCTAGAAGTAGATTTCTTTTTTCTTTTCTTTTTTCTTTTTTTTTTTTTTTTGAGACCGAGTTTCACTCTTGTTGCCCAGGCTGGAGTGCAGTGGTGTGATCTCAGCTCACCACAGCCTCTGCCTCCCAGGTTCAAGCGATTCTCCTGCCTTAGCCTTCCTGAGTAGCTGGAATTACAGGCATGCGCCACCACGCCCAGCTCATTTTGTATTTTTAGTAGAGAAGGGGTTTCTCCGTGTTGGTCAGGCTGGTCTCAAACTCCCGACCTCAGATAATCCACCCGCCTCTGCCTCCCAAAGTGCTGGGATTACAGGCGTGAGCCACCGCGCCCGGCCAGAAGTAGATTTCTTAACTAGCATATCAGCCTTCAGCATGTCTCTAAGCTTAAAATATAATCAAAATTAAGCTGACATTTATGTAAAGTTTATAATGTATGCAGTCACCAGTTCAGAGTCATAGTATAGATGTGGAATTATAGTTTTGGTTTGTGGAAGTCATGAGAAAAATGCCTTTTGGTTTGTGGAGGTAATGAGAAAAAAACCGGTTGCCAGATGAAGCATAACGAATTAAATCTCAGTAGCGTGTGTATAATAAGCCATGCATACAGGAGTTCAAACTACCACTTGCTGCACAGTGGTATGTGGCGCTTTTCCATGTCGTGCTCTATGGTATCATGGCCATGTTGCTGTGTCTGTTCACTTCCATGGAGAGGAGAGGTACTTGTCCACAAGCACCTGTGAAATGTAAGACCAGTGAGTGCCTTTAAACTTGTATTTCAGGTTGTACCTCTCCCGCACGTACCCCATGTCTTATCAGAGCCATACTTGCTGGTCTGAGGTAGATCATTATGTAAAATCCATCTGATGTCACAGGCCATCAGTGGTCTTGGAGAGGGGGTCTCATTTTTGTCTGGGAAGTAGTGCACTTTCCAAGTAGCAATTTATATTTAGGCCTTAAATTGTGTAAAATGACATAATGGAAAACACCTTGGGATAGGATACACATTTTAACAGAAACAGAACACCTTCTGTAAACACCATGGTACAATTAGACCATTGTTCTGTACTTAAAAAGGAAAAAAGCAACTCTCTGGCCGAGGGTGGGAGGGTGCATAGAAAACTACCACATTTGAAAAGGTATATTAAAAAAGCCCTTGCTCAGCTCAAATTAGAGAAAGAAATGACAAGAATTCAAAACTATCAGGCTGCTTCAGTTCCTTTTTTGTTTGTTTACTTTTGTTTAACCTGTAATTTAGGAAAAAATAAATTAGCAAGTGTTCGTGCTACCCCAATACATTCTGTAGGTGACGTGGAAGCTAGGTACTGCCCAGGACCTCCTGGCTTTGTCTGCCAAAGCTGGCCGTCCAAGCCCTTGCTCTGGGAGGGAGGGGGATGAGTTTGATGTCTGTAAGCAATCCCCACCCTGTGGGGAGGAGAGAAACAGTAGCACACATGGAAGAATTAGGTTCTGAGCAATGAGGGGACTGAGAGTAAGTGGAGTTGATACTTAGGAGAATTTCCTCCATTTTTATGGACAATGGGTTCTTGATCCCGGATGGATAAGGAAATATTTGAAGAAGAGAAAAAACCACAGAGAAGAGAGAGGTCAGGCCTAGAGACCTGGAATGGGTCATAAAGAGGGGATTGGCCATGAAAGTTGGGGGTACACAGGAGAGACTCTCCTGACTAGAAGGTTGGTGGTACCAGCTGGGTTTTTAGAGAATGAGGACATATCCTGGAGGGCTTTGGAAGCCAGACTCTGAGATATTTCAATGATGATGGAAACAACATAGTCCCAAGAAGTCTTCCATAGATAACTTCTGGGTCCTCCTTTGTCCTTTATTCTGTGGAAGAGAAAAGAAAGTGGAATAGGTGTATTAAGTCCAGTGAGCCTTTATTTTTTAAACAGAATAAACGTGTTTATTCCTCATTGTACAGTATTGACCCCAAGTCTGAGAGCATTCAGCTCTCTTTATGAGCATAGAGAACTCGGGACTTGTCTCCTTATGGAGTTTAGAATTTTCAGGGCCTTACTGAAGACAGAGATGTAACACCAAGATTGTTTTAGCCATTTTACCCCTTAGAGCTTTGTTGCACTACTGGTCCAAACTGCTTATTTCTTATTTCACCAGTAACACAGTTGAAATTAAGAGTATGTCCATCACAGGTGTACAAAGATGTGCCTGTAATCCATCAATAGACAAATGACACCATCTGTTGGCAATGTAGAAGATGACACCATGAAGATGTCATTGAGGGAGGGTCAGGTGTTAAATCCGCGATTACAAAGAGATCTGACTTTTGGGTTGCTGCTAGGTTATAGAGAATGCTAATTTTAAACAAGTTGCTCATAGAAACTGAACAATTCATATCTACAAATTACTGTCATTGCATTTCATATGCACCTTTTCAAACAGGTAAAATGTTTGGGTGTATAAATCTCACAATGGTAGAAAAAGAACAGACCAGAAATTGTGGCCCTGTGTTGAAGGTGATGGTAAATAAAATAGTTTTTGCCATATACTATTTGGCATAAGTTAGGGAAGTATGAATGCATTTCTCAACCTGGAAGAGATCCTGGAAGAGATGCGAGGGGTAGAGGTGGTTGAGAGGGTGAGAGAACACCTTGGTTCTTGCCACAGTGACCCAAAAATCCAATTCCTGAGTAAAATGCAATCTTCTTAAACCTCTTGTGTTCACCCCTGATTTTCATATTTATGAGGCCCATATGTGTATTAAAAAAATAAAACAACAGTGACCCAGCGTAGCAGAAAAACTAGCCCATCTCTTTGACAGAGGATTTTCGGTTAATTTATGCAGGCCCCTTTGCACTTCAGCATTTTTCCTGCTGGTTGCTAAGCAACCATTTGAGTTACTGCGCATGCCTTTTTTATGATAACTGTCATTATGATTACTTTTTAATTATACAACTGGGACTATGGATTAAAACAGCATATTGTCACTGATGCTTTGCCACTGCCTTCTAGTATTCTCACAAGCTCCTAGAATCACCTTCCGAAATTTTCATGGCAGGGATTTATGATTATTTTTTGATATTTCTGGCTTCACAAAGGAAGTAGAGATGGCATCATAAGGGGGGTGAGATTTTTGTGAAAAATGACTGTATCACACACCACAAGCTGTTATTGATCTGGGTAGGCCAAATCAGATATTAGGATCTTGAACCTAAATTGTGAATTTCTTTGTGCCTTTAACCACGTCTGCTTCCAACAGTAAGTGATGTTAAAAGCTCATATTGCTTTGTAGCCTGTGTTTGAAAATAACAAAAATGCTAAGCATTGGTTGCTGTTAAACCTGCTTTCAAATAAACCTACCATGAATTTGGGGGGGAGGGTATAGCACTAACCCCAGAAACGTGAAGCATCCACACTTGCGAAACATGTTCTTCTTTCACCTAAATTGCTGCACACACATAGAAGGGCAGTTAGGCAAGATGAAGGGGTTCCTCTGGCAAATAATAATAAAGGTATGTGTGGTTTACAGTATGTAAAATACCCTAAAAGGAATAAGACCAAGAAGATGGTCAGTCACTAGGTACATACAAAAGCCTTTCACTTGAATCTCCAGAGTATATTCTAACATATTTTGAGTTACTTTCTAAATACTATGTGAATTTGAAAACAAAGGAGTATGGAAATAAAGTGTTTATATATATATACACACACACACATATATATTTACCAATTCATTCAGAAATGAAATTTTTAGCTAACAAGGATATTTTAAATATTTCTATCAAAATAAAGAGAGATATTTGCTCTGAAAGGGAAATCCACAGTAGATTTCCCATATCGTGTGTGTGACAGAAGTGGGGACCAAATTGTGTTTTACTGTGATTTTGAAATTAGCACAAGGGACATTAATCTGCAGTACAGTTGTGGGATTTTTCCTGACTTAAAAAGCTCCATATCTATATGCATGGAATATAATTTGCTTTGTTGACATTTTCTGAAATAAAAATAAAACCTGTCCTCAGTAGTGTTTGATGTGGCTTGTTTTTGTTTGTTTCACCCATCCTACAGTTCAGGGCGACAGCTCAGTGAAGTCTTCATTCAGTTACCGTCAAGGAAAGAATTACCAGAATACTATGAATTAATTAGGAAGCCAGTGGATTTCAAAAAAATAAAGGTAGATATTTTGTTTACCAACTTTATTCTTCAAGTAAATTAAAGGAGCAGTGTAAATTCATTGAAATGGTTGTAGTTGGAGCTGACCACCACTGATGCCCACCCAGGCCTCGCCACAGGAAAGGTTGGGATGTCCTTGTGCTTTTCTGTGAATGTTACTTAATCACGTTGAGAGCTCATGTTATATTGCATTTTATTGAAGACCTTTCAGGCTCCCTGCTCCCCCCGCCCACATTATTGCTCTTCTTATTTCCCGTCATATGCTCCTCGTTGGCAAAAGGAATGACAGTGGGAGGGTGGACTTGGTGAATGGCGCCCCCTGGGGTTGTGCAGTCCCACAGCCCTGGCAGGGCTTTATGCTGTGAAGACAAAGGGAAAATCAGGCTTTGGTAACTGAGTAATGATTGCTGAATTTTCCTCTCCCTCTTTTTTTTCTCCATCTTCTCTAAAATTTCCATTAGGAAAGGATTCGTAATCATAAGTACCGGAGCCTGGGCGACCTGGAGAAGGATGTCATGCTTCTCTGTCACAACGCTCAGACATTCAACCTGGAAGGATCCCAGGTCTGTCTTCAGTTGTCTAAAAGTTCTTAACTGTAAATGTTCCCATGTTCTTTTTAAGTAAAATAATTCATTTTCTACCTTTTGAATCATTGCTAGTGGCAGAAGAAAAATAACTAAAAACCTATGTTCCTTGCCACCTATGTAAGAAAATAGAGGCTTTGACATCTTCAAATTACCTTTGTACCACAGCTGTGCTAGTGCCTACTCACACTTCTCTTCAAAGTCTATATTCTTTTTTTTTTTTTCTTTCCTTTTTTGAGGCAGAATTTCACTCTGTCTCCCAGGCTGGAGTACAGTGGTGCCTTCTCGGCTCATTGCAACCTCCGCCTCCCAGGTTCAAGCGATTCTTCTGCTCTCGGCCTCCCAAGTACCTGGGATTACAGGCACCCACCACCATGCCTGGCTGATTTTTGTATTTTTAGTAGAGATGGAATTTCACCATGTTGGCCAGGCTGGTCTGGAACTCCTGACCTCAGGTGATCTGCCCACCTCGGCCTCCCAAAGTGCTGGGATTACAGGTGTGCACCACTGTGCTGGGCCTCAAAGCTTATATTCTAATTAGAGGAGGGATTCAAGTAAATCATTGAAGGTAATACTGAAAGGCTGGCAGTACCATTTTTGCTTTTTTGGAGATTGTATATTTGATTATATTTACATTTATTTTTCCGATTGTACTCTTGCATCAGGAGCTGAAACTACTAGAATGTAAGACAAAACAAACTATAGGAAAAAAATAAACACTGCCTCTAATTGCTTTTTAATCTTTTTTATCAGCCCAATTGCAATTCTCTTTACTCCCCTTCTCCATAGTTAACAAGTCTAAGAGTATATAAATGATCTGAATTTATTAAAATAACCAAGGGGAGGGCACTTTAATAACACCTCAATTACTGTCACATGTTGTAGGAATTTTTTCCTGTCTGTATGTCTGGCCTGGTGCCTTCAGACCCATGAAGAAGAAAGAAAAAGACAAAGATGTACCCCTCAACCAATGCAATATCAAACCACCTTTAAATTCCTTAAGCCTGCACATCAATTTCAGTCATCAAACAGGAGAATATAGAAATCTTCAGAATGTGCCTTGAACAGACTTAAACAATTTCTAAGTTAATAGCAGTAGTATCTTGACCAAAACAGGAGGTCTTGAAAGCAAGCCTTCTGTTACTCAAGGCACTCTCCAAGGAAAGTTAAGCTGGAAGCCAGGACATAGAAAGTAGAAGAATCAACAAAGAAGGTTTTGTGAATGACAGTTTATTTTAGTCTCTGGATAGATATTTGGATTCTTTATGTCAATATGGCATTATTATGATATGCATCCAGTCCTTTTTCCTACAACCTTCCTATCTGTTTTCACTCTCACTGTCACAACTGAAATGAGGTGTTAACTGGCCTCTTGACTGGTTTCTCCCCCGGGCCATCTGGACACTAGTTTGTCTTTCTCTAGCCACCTTCCTATCCTGTTCATTTACTGCCCCTTTCCCAAGCTTTGAGGTTCCCCAAAGAACGAATTTATCTCTGTAGACTGCTTGCAGAAGTCTAATATAAGTCTTCGGCTTCATCTGCTACTCCTCAACCTAAATAGCCCATAGTCCATTCAGACTGATACCATAATCACCTGCTTCTCCAGTTACATTTCTTTTACTCTTTAAGATCAGAGAGATTCTGTGTACCTTTTACTTCTCAAGATGGAAACATCTTGCAAAACATAGGACAATATCTTTTTTTTTTTGAGATGGAGTCTCACTCTGTTGCCCAGGCTGGAATGCAGTGGTGCCATCTTGACTCACTGCAGCCTCCTCCTCTCAGATTCAAGTGATTCTCCTGCCTCAGCCTCCCGAGAAGCTGGGATTAAGGCATGCACTACCATGTCTGGCTAATTTTTGTGTTTTCTTTTAGTAGAGATGGGCTTTCACCATGTTGGCCAGGCTGGTCTTGAACTCCTGACCTCGTGATCAGCCCACCTCAGCCTCCTAAAGTGCTGGGATTACAGGCGTTGGGTACCACACTTGGCCCAGGACAATATCTTAACCAGGAAATTGACATCAATACAACCCCAGATGCATCTCTTGTATTCTTGCCTCCTCATCTTTCTCATTTGTTTTCCTTTTCTAAAAAGCCCCTCTCCTTTCTCACTGCTGAAGGAATTCCTCTCACCTTTAAGATCCAGCTCAACTCTGATGCCTCTGGCAAATTCTGCCCTGATGGTCCCATCCTGTGTCTCTCTCGTGGGTCTTTTGTTCTGCCATAGTCATACTTAGTCATACTCACTGCCTATATTGTTCATTTGGTGCATACCACAATTTGCCCGGTCACTCTTTTGAACGTGCAGGAATATGTTCCTAAAGAGCAGGGCTTGTTTTATTTTCCTTTTAAATTTTTAAAAAATTGTGATAAAAAGACATAACAAAATTTATCATAATCAACAAATCTTTAGAACTTTGTTGTCTTGCAACTCTGAAACGGTGTGCCTATTAATAACTCTTATCTCCTCCTTCCCCCAGCCCCTGGCAACCACCGTGGCACTGTCTGTTTCTATGAATTTGCCTATTTTAGATACTTCATATAAGTAGCATCATATAGTACTTGTCTTTTTGTGACTGGCTTATGCACTTATGGACTTAGCATAATATTCTCCAGTGTAATCCATGTTACAGGATTTCCTTCCTTTTAAAGACTGAATAGTATTCCATTAAATGCATAGCCCACACCTGCTTATCCACGTACTCGTCAGTGGGCCTGTGGGTTGCCTCCACCTCTTGGCTATTGTGAATGCTGCTGCTAGGAACATGGGTGTGCTAATGTCTTTTCAAGACCCCTCTTGTGATTCTTTATATACCCAGAAGTGGGGCTTATGGATCATAGGGTAGTTCTATTTTCAATTTTTTTTTAGGAAAAGGACCATTTTTGAACTTTTATCTTTCAGCACCTACCCAGGGCCATGCTCAGATAGGTGTATCCATTAAAAATAAAGTGTTAATTGGATGAGTATTGGCTGCTAATGATAAACTCAGTAATAAGGAATAGCCCCCACTTGCTAGGGGCTTTGCATTTTAAAGAAGATTGCTTTACCACTGTCTTACCACAGTATTTGGTAGAACAATCCAAATAAGAAATGTGGTTTTTAAAAATACCGTTTTTGTTGTCCAATATGAGGATATTTTATCTACTCTTCTCCTCTAAGCATCCATGTACTTTTAAATAATTTCAACTGCATTTGGACTTTGTATATGAATTTGTATGTCTGTATTTGGGCGTGGCATTTTGCTGTTGGGTTTTCATGTGGGCATAAAAGCTAACGGTGACATTTCTACTAAGATTCATGTAAAGTAAGCTTGTGTGTTGCATAAGGAGGGATTCACTGCCATTTTAAATCTTAGGCCCTCAGCTTGCAGTTTTAACTGATACCCCTTTGACTATTTAGATCTATGAAGACTCCATCGTTTTACAGTCAGTGTTTAAGAGTGCCCGGCAGAAAATTGCCAAAGAGGAAGAGAGTGAGGATGAAAGCAATGAAGAGGAGGAGGAGGAAGAGGAGGAAGAGTCAGAGTCGGAGGGTAAGCCCAGACATTCGGGTGCTCTGCATCTTTGCTGCTCCTCACTTGCATAGCTGTCTCCGCAAATGCTCGCAGAAGAGACTTGAGAGTGGGGCAGATCTGGATGGGAGCCCTTAGTCCACTTTGTCCTTGCTGGGCAACCGGGGGCCATGTACTTAACCCTGCTCATGCTCAGTTTTCTCATCTGTAAAACTGAGGTCCTAAAAATGACCTCCAAGCATGTAAAATGTTTAGCATAGGCCAGGCTCTGTAGCAAACGCCGTTTGCTTGCTTAGTTTTTTGAGACAGGGTCTTACTCTGTCACCGAGGCTGAAATGCAGTGGCATGATCTTAGGTGACTGCAACCTCCACCTCCCGGGTTCAAGTGATTCTCCTGCCTCAGCCTCCTGAGTAGCTGGGACTACAGGCATGTGCCATGACATCTGGTTAATTTTTATATTTTTAGTAGAGATGGGGTGTCACCATGTTGGCCAGGCTGGTCTCAAGTGATCCACCCACCTTGGCCTCCCAAAGTGCTGGGATTACAGGCGCAAGCCACCACACCTGACCTGCAAACACTTTCTGAATGTTGCCTTTGAATACTGCTGTTAATGCCACCTATCTTCTATTCTTTACCATAGTGGTTCTAAAACCTGGAGGGCTTGAAGAGTATGTCAGTGTTTGATCCAGTAGCCTGTGGTGGGGCCTGAGAGTCCACATTTCTGGCAAATTCCCAGGGGAACTGACGATGTTGGACCAAGGACCACACTTTGAGAATCACAGCTTTAGAAAATAATTGTCAAACAAACTGAGTTGGAACTGTGAATTTTGCATAGAATTTTTTTTTTTTTTTTTTTTTTGCCAGGGGAAGAGGGGTGATGACAGGGTACTGTCTTTATTTAAAATGTTGATATTTTGTGTATCATGGATTTGGGGGGGGCATTAATTTGGGTTTTTAAAATATCACCTTTTAGAATATTAGTTGATTACAGGGGTTTGGTGCTCCCTTCAATTTTACATCCAAGGTGAGTGCCTCCGTTGTTTTACCCTAGTTCCAGCCCTGACTGATAACCCAAATATTCCAAACGTTAAGGGTGCTGTCAGAAGTCGAAAATTTCTTATTAGGGCATAGTGGCTCACAACTATAATCCAAGCACTTTGGGAGGCTGAGGTAGAAGGATAGCTTGAGGCTAGGAGTTCAAGACCAACCTGGATAACATAGTAAGACCCTATCTCTACAAAAATTTTTATAAAAAGAAATAGCCAAGTGTGGTGGCACATGTCTATAGTCCCAGCTACTCAGGAGGCTGAGGCAGCAGGATCGCTTAGTCTAGGAGTTCAAGGCTGCAGTGAGCAATGATCACACCACTGCCCTCCAGCCTGGGCAACAGAGCAAAACCCTACCAAAAAAACACAAATATTTAAAAACTATAAAATTTCTTCTTTCCTATGTGTGTCTTCACCCTGTACTACTCAAAGTAATAAAACCTAGTAGTTATGGGCTACTATGTAAAACAGCATAAGCCAGGCCTGGTGTCTCACGCCTGTAATCCCAGCACTTCGGGAGGCTGAGGCGGGTGGATCACTTGAAGGTCAGGAGTTTGAGACCAGCCTGATCAACATGGTAAAACTTCATCTTTACTAAAAATACAAAAATTAGCAAGGTGTGGTGGCGGGCACCTGTAGTCCCAGCTACTTGGGAGACTGAGGCAGGACAGTCGCTTGAACCCAGAAAGCAGAGGTTGGAGTGAGCTGAGATCATGTCACTGTACTCCAGCCTGGGCCACAGAGTGAGACTCTGTCTCCAAAAAAAAAAAAAAAAAGTATAGACATGCTTTTAAAAAATTATTAGGTTTCTAATTACATATTAATACAGATGACTTGGAAAATAGATTTTCAAAGGTAAAAAATGTGTAATTCTGTATCTCAACATACATGTAATATTTTGAGAAGTTACCTTCAATTTTTTTCTATACATAAATTTGTTTATAAAAACGTAGCACACTGTTTTGTGCCATGATTTTTGTATTTATTATGAACACTTTCCATGGCAATGAGGGGTTTTTTTACAGCAACATATATTAACATGTATATTATATATTAACATTAAGGAATGTACTAAAACGTGTTAATTATACTCCGTTCATCAGGCTGTTTCCCAATAATGCTGTCCTGAGCATTTTACCCATAGATTATTGAAAAGATGTAAAATGTATGTGATGCATACACATTGCCACAGAGAATGGAGTTTCCATTCTTGCCCTCAACATCCATAAGTGACTCTTTCCCAACATCCTTTTCTGGTCTCTCAATATCTAGTTAGTGATTCTGCCTTTTATGAATTTAAACTTTCCCAAATTCATGTAGTTATTCCTTTGTTCTAGCATTTGAATACATCTGCATCATCTGTCTTAGCTATATATTTCATTATTTTAGAGCCAAATTTCTAATCTCTTCAAAGAGCTGCTCTCTTACCCCATCTATCAATTTAATTTCTCAAGCCTTGGTATATTTATTTTCTCTTGCTGCTATAACAAATTACCACAAACTTAGTGGCTTTAATACAACACAAACTTATTACCTCATGGTTCTGTGGGTCACAGATTCAGCATGAGTCTCCCTGGACTAAGATCAGTATGTCAGCATCCTGCGTTCCTTTCTGGATGCTCTAGATGGGCATCCCATTTCCTTGTTCATCCTGGTTCTTAGCAGAGTTCAATTTCCTGTGTTTGTAAAAGCAAAGTTCCCACTTGCTTGCTGGCTGCCAGTGGAAGGCTGTTCCCAACAGTGTTCTTTAGCTCATTGCCCGCACCCCCCCCACCCCACCTCCACCCCTTGCTTCAACTTTAAAGCCAGCAATGACAGGTACAGTCCTTCTCATGTTGTGTCTCCATGAATCTCTCTTCCACTTTTAAGGATGCAGGTGATTAGATCGGGCCCACCTCGATAATCCACAATAATTTCCCCATCTCAAGGTCAGACAATTAACAACCTATAATCCCTTTTGCCATGTAATATAACATATTCAAAGGTTCTGGGATTAGGATATGGACATCTTGTGAGGAGACAATATTCTACCCACCCCACTTGGTAGCTAGAACTTTTCATAGGTGCATATGGTTGTATCATAAAACCTTAGGAAGCTGTTTACAGGGCTCACCTAATGGTCCAGTTTATTAACCTGCTTGTCCATAGTCTGTCAGGTGGGTTTTTTGGAGAAACATATCCACTGACGCATGCCTGACAGCATTAGAGTGCACCACACTCCAAAGCGCATTTAGATTATGCTCTCAAGGATACATTTTCTTACCCCTGTTGCCCGTCTTCTACCTGTTCATTTTCCATACTCCTGTGTCAGGGAGAGCCCACACCTGGATAAATGGACATATTTCACCTTGCCTTTCCACATTGTTTAGAAATGCCCATTATGGCTGGCTTCTGGCATCTATTTCTTTAGATATCCCACATCTTTCCATTTGCATTAATAGATAGGCTTTTTCATCTCCAGTCTCTTCTTCTTGTCCTAAGTTACCCCACCCAAAGCAAAGGGCCCCACCTCATCGCTTGTTAAGCAGCAGACATTGGGTATAATAGATAGAAGGCTTGGCTAGGAGTACTATTTTGTGTACTAGGATTTGCCAGCCTTTGGCCCGTTTGGGATGGAGGAAAGGCAAATGCTACCACCACACTTGAGTACAAAACAGCACAGCTCTCATCTCTTCTGTTAGCTTATGTTTCTGTGGGAGATTTTAGTTTTGGAAATATTTTGTGGGTCCCTCTACTTCACAAAAGAAGTCTGGAACATTCTCCTCTCCAAGATTCCTTCTGGAACTAGGATTCCCTCTATGACAACATCTATTTCTAGATGCCTTGAGACCCACCAGACATGGTAGAGTCTAGCAAAGCTGGCTTGAATGAGAGACCCACATTTTCAGTGCCTTCATCATCAAATACCAAAAATGGTATTCTATGGATATCTATCCCAAATAGCTACCGTGGAGCAGATTGTCTTTGATGGTCTTTGTTCCTTGGGAGAGGTACCTATATTTATGATATTGTACCTTGAACTCTTCCAAGTGTTTTCACTTGTATCCCCAGAATAGTCTTGTGAAGGTGGAAATGGGTGCGATCTTTCTGAAGGCTAATCTGGCAGAGCACTGTTAGAAATTTACCATATGGACATGTCCACCATACCTCCCTCAAATTCTGCCAAGATACATTGAAATAGGTTCACAGCAGCTTTGTTTATACTGGCAAAAAAAAAAAAAAAAAAAGCAGGAAACTTCAGCCCTCGTCATATGAGACTGATTAAGTAAATTATAGTATACCATACGATGGAAAATTTTCAGGTGTTTAGAAGAATTAGACAGGTATGTATGAGCCTTTACCTATAAATATCCCGCATATGTGAGTAAACAGTAAGTGTAGAATATGGATGTGTATAAAGATCCCTTTGAGATAACTATTTAAAGAATTCAAGTACGTATGTGTATATATACACATACTTGAATTCTTTATATTTCTATAAAGACTTTTATAGAATATGTAGAATTATACATACACACAGAGAGAGAGACAGAGAGAGAAGAATGGATGTACTTGCAGGTATGGACATAAACATTTGTTTTCCTGGAAATAATTACCAGAAAGAGAGTTGTAGGGAGAGAAACTAGGAATGGGGGAAAGGAGGCATTCAAAAGTGTTTTCTTTTTACTTTCCATTTTGTACCTTTATGTTAAAAATGTTATTGAACTATTTGAATTTTCTTTTTAAGTCAACTGGAGTTATCTACGTAGTAAAATTATTGGCCTTTAAAAAACTCTTTATATTTTTAATGTAAAAGTTCTATTAAATGATTGCCCAAACACCTCCACAAAATAGGAAACACTTCCCCTCATTATCCTTGGTCAGCCATTGGGAGACAGGTAAAGGACCCAGCCCCGCTGTCCTCCGTGGGACCTCGGTCCCTCTTGTTGCCTGTGACTATATCATTTACCTTCCAAAGGGGGAGACAGGTTGGCAAGTGGAAGGGATCGCTGACTAGACAGGACCACACAGAACAGGCATAATCCAGGAATGTTCTGGGCACTCCGGGATGTTTGTGTTGTCTGTAGGTTGGTGATAGTCTTATCACCTATACAGATATCTCCCTTGTGATTACTCATTGCTATCTATTTCATTTGCTTTGGTTTTAGCAAAATCAGTCAAGGTGAAAATTAAGCTCAATAAAAAAGATGAGAAAGGCCGGGACAAAGGAAAAGGCAAGAAAAGGCCAAATCGAGGAAAAGCCAAACCTGTAGTGAGCGATTTTGACAGCGATGAGGAGCAGGATGAACGTGTAAGTGTAGCTGACTGGTACTGAAGGCGGAGGCGCCCTCTCCACTGCTCGCTGGCCTCTCATTTCCATGCCCCTTCAGCCTTTTCACTTTATTACCTAGGAGTGGAAATGTCAGGATTTAGTGAGATTTCATTATTGAGGGATGTGAATGGAGCTGTATGATTTAGAACAAAGAATTGGGGGCTTTGTTTATTGCTTTTTTAATAGTCTTCAAAAATGAAAAACTACTAAATCAAACTCTCTTTTCCCCCTTTTTAATCTTCCCACATGCTTGCTTATAAATATGGTTTTCCCCATAGCCAGTTAATATTTTATATCCATCACACCCAGCATAGCGCCTGGTACATAGCAGTAGATTAGATAGAAGAATGAGAAAAAGTGATATGACGTCAGAGTTACTGGCTCGAGTTGCTACTTAAGGGACCGTGTAAAAAGTCAAATGGCTTTTTTAAGTACCTAGGGGTGTTATTTTTAATATTTGAAAAATGCAGTGAGCATCTATTGAGCCAGGCCTTGTAATGTAGGTACCTCACTGTGTCGTAGCATATTAAATACTGATGTCAGCATCATGAGATAGATGTCACTCTCAAAAAACATGTTACAGAAATGGTTAGGTTATGTGTGTTTTGCTACAGATCACGTAGCAGAGGTGGGTTGCGGACCCAAGTAGAATAATTCAGTCTAGTGTGCTATGCCTGACTGGGCAGCAAGGTAGAAGAGTGGGCAGAAGCTCCTAATACCTTGCCTTTTGAAATAACCCTTCATTTCATCCATTCAGTTTCCAGAAGGTGGCTTCCTGGCACCCACATTCTTTTCTTTCTGGAAAGATAAATTTCCCTTTTTGTGTATATGCTAGTTTGATTTTCCTTTAACACATTACCATTTTGGTAAAATTTCAGAATTATGATCTCACCCCAGCCTTAACCCTTGATGCAAACATTTTCAAATACATTTAAAATACTGTATTTTCTTTAGGAGATATCAAATGCAGGGTATTTTTTTTCTCCCATGAATTTTCTAAAACCTAGGACTGAAAAAGAGAAAGTATTAGCCATAAACCTTTCAAGCCAAAGTGAAAGGGCACGAACACCAGCTTAGAGGGTGGGCTTTGCTTTGGGGTTTTCAGTAAGAAAAACTTCTCAGCTTCGAGGCTGTCGATGCCTCTTTAATGTGTTTCTGTCCTTCCACGGAAAGAGATTTGTTTCCAAAATGTCATTTTTTTCCTAATGGCCTCTTGATGGTTTGTTTTGTTTTATGTATTCTTTTTCTTGCATGTGATGTTACTTCATTTTATCTTATTTTTACTTTTAGGAACAGTCAGAAGGAAGTGGGACGGATGATGAGTGATCAGTATGGACGTTTTTCCTTGGTAGAACGGAATTCCTTCCTCCCCTGTCTCATTTCTACCCAGTGAGTTCATTTTGTCATATAGGCACTGGGTTGTTTCTATATCATCATCGTCTATAAACTAGCTTTAGGATAGTGCCAGACAAACATATGATATCATGGTGTAAAAAAAAAAAACACACATACACAAATATTTGTAACATATTGTGACCAAATGGGCCTCAAAGATTCAAAGATTGAAACAAACAAAAAAGCTTTTGATGGAAAATATGTGGGTGGATAGTATATTTCTATGGGTGGGTCTAATTTGGTAACGGTTTGATTGTGCCTGGTTTTATCACCTGTTCAGATGAGAAGATTTTTGTCTTTTGTAGCACTGATAACCAGGAGAAGCCATTAAAAGCCACTGGTTATTTTATTTTTCATCAGGCAATTTTCAAGGTTTTTATTTGTTCGGTATTGTTTTTTTACACTGTGGTACATATAAGCAACTTTAATAGGTGATAAATGTACAGTAGTTAGATTTCACCTGCATATACATTTTTCCATTTTATGCTCTATGATCTGAACAAAAGCTTTTTGAATTGTATAAGATTTATGTCTACTGTAAACATTGCTTAATTTTTTTGCTCTTGATTTTTAAAAAAGTTTTGTTGAAAGCGCTATTGAATATTGCAATCTATATAGTGTATTGGATGGCTTCTTCTGTCACCCTGATCTCCTATGTTACCAATGTGTATCGTCTCCTTCTCCCTAAAGTGTACTTAATCTTTGCTTTCTTTGCACAATGTCTTTGGTTGCAAGTCATAAGCCTGAGGCAAATAAAATTCCAGTAATTTCGAAGAATGTGGTGTTGGTGCTTTCCTAATAAAGAGATAATTTAGCTCGACAAATGCAGCCTGTTTCTTTGAATTCTAGAGGATTGAAACCCTTGTGCCTGAAGTGGCAGTTTTCTGTAGAGGGCTGGGCAGCCTCTTGCTACAGAACACTTGATAGGGAAAAAGAGAGCTTGAGAGAGCCAGTCTCCTTGGTGTGGTCCAGCTGTGTCACCAGGGGCACCTGTTGCACCTATGACTTGATTAAACAGCAGAAGAGATGCTGCCATGGGCCAAGCCATATGAAGTCCCTGCTCAGCCTTAAATTCTGTTTCTTAGTTGGAAAATCTATATTGCTATTTGTCTTTTGATTTTGAAAGATTTCAAAAATATTCCATTGAAAGACTCGTTCAGTGAACACCTATATACCCTCCACCTGAGATTCAACAATAATATTTCATCCTTACCCTGTTTTATTTTAATAAACCATTGGAAAATAAGTTGCCATTATTATGATACTTTGCACCTAATATTTCAGCACAAATCTAAGAATAAGGGTATCTCATAGCCAACCACAATCCTATAGCATACCAAAAGGAATAAACAATAGTTCCCTGATATCTAAGAGACAAGCCATAGTCGCATTTTCCCAGATGTCCTAACATTATCTTCTATTTGTTTGGTTTTAGCCAGGATCTTTTCAAGGCTCACACTTTGTGTTTGATTGTAACATTTCTCAATATCTTTTTTAAAGTTCTCAAAAAAAAAAAAAAAAAAAAGCACAAAGATGGGCACATTCTTTAAGAAGCTGGTGATGATAGGATCAAAATGGGAGTGTTTTCCTTCAACACTACTGGATTGATGAAAGCTTCCCTTTTTAGAATTATCTAAGGAGAACTCCAGGATCTTTGCTTTTATATATATATTTGCCAATGCTGTATCCTGCTTTGAATCTTGAAGGAAATTTGATCCACACAGAGTACAGTCCTCCTGAGAAACCTCTTTGTCTCTCTAAATAGCAATTCATGTATTAATTTCCAGTTAGTCCGAGCATTCAGGAGGAGGAGTTTCCCTTCTTGGTTGGTTTCTCGGACTTGCTAACCGCAATAGGATTGGAGACCTCCACAGAAGAGTATACCCATATTAGTTTCTCATACTGAGATGATTTGGTATCAGTTCAAAGAAAACATTCGTCTTTCCCTGCTTCTATTTCTATATTTTCTATATTTTTGTGCTCTTTGCAATCTCTCCTTGGCTTCAGAAGCATTGCTATTGCTAAAGCCCTCAAAACCACTGTATTCGTGGTTCAGGATTTCTGTTGTGTGAAGAATGTTCTCTGATCCTTCTGTTGCTGTGTTTAGTGTAGTATTCTCCTTGGCTATAACGGAAATGAGAGCCAGGGATGATCGTTGAGAACAGGAGTCTCTTCTCCTTCGGCGGCGGGGGACTGGTGGTGAACAGTTCAGCTGATGATCTTCCCGGTGTGAGGTGGCAGCAGAGTGAGCATGCAGTAACAAGAAGGCGGGCCATCCCGAACATGTGCATATGCGGACCTGTTTACCACGTCGTGGCAGCCATCTTGTTCAGCTCTAGTTGCTGAGCCCATCAGCCTAGTTCTTTTCAAGGTCAAAAGTTTTTTAGGAACAGAGGAAGGAAGCTAAGAGTATCAGGCTATGTACTGATTGCATTATTGTATTCAATTACAAGAACCATGTGAGGAAGGCGTAGTTCTTGTTCCCATTTTACAAATAAAGATAACGCAAAGAAGAGATTGAAGAGCAAAGAGCTGTGCACCAAAAGTTGAATTTCTTTGACTCCAGACCCCATATTCCTTGGAGCTTCCCCACCTCCCCTCAGTGAGTGAGGTCGGGAACTGATCTGTTGATAAGCTCCAGGCACCCATTTACCTGGCATGTGCTGACACAATTGGGCTTACAGACAAATCCTGGCTCAAATTTCTAGTTCCCGTGGCTGAGCCTTTCCACTGAGACCCAGTTTTCTTGGCTGGGCCCTGCTACTCTGGCTCTTCCTTCACAGTCCTCTGCAAGGGCCAGAACAGGGCCCTTAGGTCCCAGCTACTTATGTTTCCTAAAGGCTACTGACTTAGATATCACTACTGCCATCAGATATAATGCCATACGTATACGTAGTGACCAAGTTCATGTTTGCCCCACGCATTGATAAGACCAAGAGTTTTCTGAGAAAGAGGTTTTTACACCTCATCATCTCTGTAGGTGCTGGACAGAGTATGCTTAGCGTGCCGTTTTATCTTCAAGTCCTCCAGTTCCATATCCAACCAGACTGGCATTCCTAAGCACTTCCCATGTGGAGCGGGTAGAGCCATCACCAGTGCCACCTGAAGGAACAGACTCCTGACTGCCCCCTATCCCAGCCTGACCTCTTAGCTCTAGTGTCAGTCTGCTATGTGGACCAGAGTTGGCACACATCACAGCTGGGTCTGCCTGAGTTATGCCACCAGAAACATGATTCTCAGACTATTTTCATAGGTCACACCCTTAAAATGGGGTGTTTTAAATATGAACCTCTTAATTTCCCATTAGAGATATTATATAGGCAGAATATACTGGAACCAGATATACTGTAGCAGGAATGTAAAGGGTTTAAAAGATGTTTATCCCTCTAAGGCCGCTTATTTAACTTTAAGTATAATTATTCAGATGAGAAATTAGGATCATGGCCCTGAATTGGGAGTCAAATGTGTGGGTTATTCTGGATTTTGCCGCAGCCTTATTTGAGTTTTGATTTCCTCTATAAAACGTGAAGAATAAGTGAGTCGTCCTGTAATTGCAAGCTATGTGGTTGAGACATACTGTTGTGTTGTCAAAGGTTTGCATTATGTTAGAAAAAACGACTTATAAATTAAATGTCATTAAAACATCCAGAAAGATTCTCAAAGTCAAGAAATAGACTGGAGATGGCTTTTAAGGGCCCTTCAAGCATTGACAGTTTTGAAATCAGTGTTTCTCAAAGTGTGGTCTCCAAACCAGCAGCATCAGCACGGCTTGCAAACGGAAATGCAAATTCTCATGCCTCATCCCAGACCTACCGAATCAGAAACTCTTGAGGGTGGGGCCCCCTAATAGAACATGCCCTCCAGGTGGTTCTGATACATGCTCAAGTTTGAGAACCACTAGTCTATCAGGCTTTTAATCATCTCTATTATTTCATTCCTGAGGAACAATATGAAGCCATACTGGTCTTGATTCAGATCATTGGTTCAGGCATATATACCCAGCACACAATTGTCATTCTTGTAAAAAGAAAGTCAACATCAATGGGAATAACAGGAAAGGCTGAATATTTTTTTTCTTTCTCTGAAATGGCTTTTCTGTCACCTACATTACAAGGCAGCAATCTTCATTTGTGCTTGACTTAACCTTCATTGAGAGTGATGTGGTGTAATGCTTGGGGGAAATATCATTGGGTTACTTAGCAGAAAGGTAGAGACGTACTCTCCCTTTATGAATAAATGTTTTTCCCACAAGAATTTTATATTGGGAGTCAATCTTACTCTTAAAGAAATGGACAAATCTAATCCTTTTCTTAAAATGTACTAAGAGCCTGCATCAAACTAGATAAAATAGAATTTCTGTTCTTATTTGTATATACTGTCACATAGTGTGTGAATCTGTTTTGCTTGGGGAAGAGTAATGAAAAATGATAGAGCAAAGGGTGAGGAATAATGACTGATAGGGCTAGAATTGCTAAACCTTGGTCCAGGTGAACTGTATTCATCCCTGGTGTTGTTTTAGGATACTGAGCTTCATGGAAGGCAAGTGACGTGTTCCAACTGCCTGAGCCCCTTTATGCAAGAAGGTGTTTGTGTTCTGCATCAGTTTCCGTAAGGGCTAAGTTGAATAATACAGGCAGCTAAGTCTGGCGACTACAGGGAAGCAAGTTTTCTGTTTTTAAACACTGATTTTGTTACACACAAGAACGAGGCCTCTTTGTGAACCCAAATGCAGTTATGAAGCAAGGCTCACTGTGGGATTATAAACCTCAAAGCGAACAGACTCATAGTCCCTCAAGCAAATACATGTATTTCTTAATTCTCTTGTAAAAATTTTAATTAAATTCCTCTTCTAGGATTATAAAAATGGACATGTATCCACCACAACTAGCGAAATAATACAAAGAAAATTAATTTAGCATTCACCACGCCTACCAGGCAGTCAGCTTTAATAGTCTGATGTGGTTACTTCTATACATTTCTTCTTGCACACATTAACACATACAAGCCTAGAGGCTGTCAAATGCCACTTCCCCAATTGTCTCAATACAACCTGAGACTGGTGCAGTGGATCATGCCGGTAATCCCAGCATTTTGGGAGGCCAAGGCAGGTGGATCACTTGAGGTAAAGAGTTAAAGACCAGCCTGGCCAGCATGGTGAAACCCCCTTCTCTCCTAAAAATACAAAAATTAGCCAGGCATGTTGGTACACGCCTGTAATCCCAGCTACTTGAGAGGCTGAGGCACAAGAATTGCTCGAACCCAGGATGCAGAGGTTGCAGTGAGCTGAGATCATACCACTGCACTCCAGCCTTGGCAACACAGTGAGACTCCATCTCAACAACAAAAAAAAAAACAATAACATATAACCTGATAATAAGATTAAGTTGAATTTATTGTTTGCTGTGGTAAGGGAGGCCACCACCTTGAAGGAGTCTGGTAGTTTCTTTGAAGGAGGTCAAGATCAGATTTTATTGAAATTTAAAGTGTGTCAATACAGGGATTTGGCTAGGGCAGGTCATTATATAGTTTAAAATTTGTGGAAATAGCAAGGTGAGAATTTTGAGAACAACTTGCCTAAGTAAGAGTCTCCTGGAATAGTATAAAAATAAAGACAATGGAATAGGAAAGTAATTTTAATGTAGCCAGTAAACTTTGTGAGGGTAGATGGCTTTAGCTCTCAGCTCTACTTTAAGGATGTTTCAGGGTTTTATTCTTTTTTTTTAAGTGCTATACTATTCTCTGCAACTTGCCTTTTCCGCTTAACAGTACACTGAGTATTTTCCTCCAAGTCAACAGTTAGAGATTGAACTCACTGTTTTTTTTT